GGGTGGGGGCCCGGGGCCCACCCCCTGCCACATCCTGCACATAGCAACCGGGGCTTGGGTGCTTCTGGCCAGCTGCAGCTGATGCTCGTGGAGCACAGAGAAGGCAGGATACAACTACTGGCTCCCGTAGCACTGGCCACTGGGACTTCCCTCTGGAAGGGATGGGGGGGCATAGGCTGATTAGCATAAGGACCTGTGGGGCCCTGCTCCAGAGGCCTTTGCCAATCAGGGCGCCCCCTGAGTGCCTGGGTTTCCTCAGGAAACGGTGGGTTTCCCCTTGAAGGGGACAGCATTCTAGCCTGCAAGGGGTCCTGCTTAAGGCTGCTGGGAGCGGGACGCAAGGGGCACTATGTGCATGTCCACAGCCACATGCATGCACATGGCCAGGAATGTAGCCAGGCAGTTTGGAGAGCAGCTCCCTGCAGATAAGTGAGGAAGGGTCATGTGGGAGCAGCAGATTGAAGCCCCCATGGTGAGGGAGGGAGAGAGTGGAGCAGAGGCAGGAACTGGGGCTGGGGGTGTTGCTCAGGCAGGGTAGTGCATGGGATCTGGGGCTGGGGCAGGGAGCAGAACGGAGCCATGGGTGGCTCATCCAGGGAGTGCAGGGTAACTGGCTCCCTGCTACAACATGCACCACCAGAGGAGACATGAGGGGCATATCCCCCACATTTTTGTACATGGGGAGATGCAGGCTGCTCGCTGTAAGCTCAGGGCTCTTTGCTCTGCTGCTTTCCCTTGGGAGCTCCACTCCTGGTGTGTGCTCCCTGCCCAGCCATCAGGAGTGTGGGCGATGAGTTGTGCTTCCTGCTGCTGGATGTGCAGGGGTGTGTGGCTGGCATGGGGCCTCCAGAGCAAAGGCAGAAGAGCAGAGAGCCCTGAGCTCACAGCAGACAGCCTGCGTCTGTCCTCACCTGGCTCAGCTGTGCTCCAGCCCTGGTGGGGTTGAGCCGGGCCTGGGAACAGGGAGGAGAGGCGGGCATGTTCAACCCCACCTCCAGACTGGCCAGGACTGCCCGGGACCCGGCAAGCGCACCCCTCCCTCAGCACTGTTAGCACCAGGAGGTGAAGGGCCCCCTCTCCCACTGGAGTCCATACATTCATGTTTATAATAAAGTGTGGGTGTCTCCAATTTTCTGTTTGCCCAGGGCCCCAGTAAATCTTACTCCAGCACTGATGGGGGGCTGTGGGTTAGGAGTAAGGGGCACTGGCAGGGCTGGGGGTGTGGGGGGCTGTGGGTTAGGAGGGAGGGGGGGCTATGCCTTGGGAGTGAGGGGTAATGGCATGGGCACGGAGAGGGCAGCAGCATATCACGGCTGTTCAGCACCACAAAGTGGAAGTGGGGACAGCTGCAGCTGGACCCACGTCTTTGTCAGTGACTGAGGCAGGGGGAGCTCTGATTTTCCATTGTAAGAAAACCAAAATTAAATACTAAATTATACAGGTATTTATAATGACTGAGGCACTGGTAAGCTTCCAAATTTCTTTAAAATTGTAAACATATCAATAAAACATTGTGCTCAACTGAGATTTACATACATACATATATACATAGCGGCGTTTCATTTACTCACGGAAAAACATGGATTTTCTGATTTTTGATCAGATAATTTGGGATTTTTAACACAGAATTTGGGATTTTTTAAACATAGAAAACTAATACCCCTGGTCATCTGTCCAGTGCCATGCTCAAGGCAGGATTATTTTTACCTAATCCATCCTATGCATTTGTTTTCTGAATCTATTTTTAAAACTGGATAACCAAACCTCTCCCACAACCACCCGACACAATGCCCCAAAACATCAGGAATATCCTAACTTGCCACAGGTAAATCAGGAAGACCGGGGCACTACTGTCCATGTCCTGCCACTCCCAGGATCAAAGAATCAGCAATGTAGTAGTTGTTAACATACATTTGAAAGATCCAAGGAAAAGGACCATGCTTCCCATCCCCCACAAGATAAGGCAAATTAGCCATTCCAAAATAACATACAGTTCATGCTGATCTGACTGTGGGGTAAAATTTCTTTTTTATTCCAAATTTAGTGATCAGTCTGACCCTGAGCAGGGAAGCAAGAGCCTTAGTCTCTCGTTTCAAGTTCCAACACGAACATTAACAAACCTCAGTCAAAACCACACCCTTGGCTGCAGCCAGAACCCAATGCTTTTCAGGAAGGTGATAGTACATTCTGACAGATGAAATAACAGAACGGGGAATTTTCCTTCCCAGTCCTACGTGAAGCGACAAAGCCCAGAAGTATGGGAAAAATAAACATCCTTCACTCTGTACTGCAGCCCGGGAACCACCAGCATAACTGCCTACACCTCACGTTAACTGGACAGCCCTCTCTGTTATCTTATCTCATCCAGAAATTTGTCACAGACCTTTAATCCTCTTTGATTCATTATGAAACTTGTTTCAGAGCTCTGCTTCATAATCCCTCAGGCGAGCATGGTTCCTGCCAATGTCCCGCCCCCCCAGTGTAACACACAGCCGTGACATGAGTTTGGCTTTCAAGAATTTGGGGTACAGTTCTCCCCAAACCCAGCACCGATCTTCTTGAAAGTGGTAGATTTCATGCTCTCAGCAGAGGCTACCACCCTGCATATTTCATCCAAATTGGACAAAAAACAACAAAGTTATAGATATTTCATTGATTCCCCATTATACCCTATGGCCGGATCTCCAAGGCGGCTCCGAAACTTCGGAGCTTCGGCGGGATCGAGGCGGAAACCCGGTCCAGAGCTCCGGATTGGATCGCGGCCATCCAAAGTGGCCGGATCCGAAGCCGGATCGGATCGCTGCTGACTTGCACAGGCCTAAAGTCTACTTGCTCTTCTGCAATGCAGATCTCCAAGAGAGAGATGTGTGTGTGTGGCAGAACGGGTGAATTCTAAAGAAGGCATACAGTTTTGGGTCCTTTGTAACCCATAGAGAGTGCAAAACTCTACAAAGAAGTTAAATAATATTTTGTGGTTTCAAACGAAAAAAGGTCACTTTGTAAGGCAATAAAGTGAATAAGTACGTAGGTCATTTTCAAATGAAGGATATATCTATATCTATATCTATACCTATATATTATAATAATATAATATATATATCCATATATATATTCCTACCACTGAAAGACCCATTTGTAAATACACACACAGTTCGGTTCTTTTCTGTTTCATATATAACATGCATTGAAACTTCCTTCATAAAATCACGGAATCATAGAAAATTAGGGTTGGTGGAGACCTCAGGAGGCCATGTAGTCCAAACCATTGATCTAAGCAGGATCATCCTAACTAGATCACCCTAGCCAAGCCTTTGTCTAGCCAGGTCCTAAAAACCTCCAAGGATAAAGAGTCCACAGCCTCTCTGGGCAAGCTATTTGGTGTTTTACTACCCTCCTACTGAGAAGATTCTTCCTAATATTTAACCTAAACTTCCATTGCTGCAACCTGAGACCGTGGCTCCTTGTTCTGTCATCTGCCACCACTGAGAGTAGTCTTGCTCCAACCGCTTTGGAGCCTGTATTCCATGTAGGAAAACCCGGAGATTGATATCAGTTTAAGACTCTTTATGGCTTTCTATAGAAATAGTGCATTTGACTTGATTAAATATTCAAAATGCAAATAAAAAAGTAACAATATAATTATGCAAATGAGAATACTTCATTAAATCTTCATTTGCAATATCCAACTAGGAAGACAATAATATCAATACAGAGAACACTTTTAAAGATAATCAAGTTCACTAAGGAGTATACATACATTTTTATAACATATTTTCTGAATAATTCTTAAAATTATAAAAGAATTAAAAAGAGACATGATCAGTGGGACCTAGAAAAAATGAGAAAATAATATAGAACTCTCTGAATAAGGATAAGTTTAAAACTCATATGCATATAAGCAGTTTCTTCCTCAATACTCCACATTCTGAGAAATACCCGTGTTTGTAAGCAGGCAGGAGACAAATTATCAGACAGAAAATTTAACAGACACTGGTTAAAACATGTGTCATTGAAAGTAACGACTGAATCTAAAATGATAAAGAGAAATATATCCATGCGATTTCTACTCAATAGGTGTGTGAGTCATAAGAAATCAGTCACAAAATCAACCTGCCATTCACACATCTCTGTAAAACCGTATGCATTGGTTCAGAAACTTTGTCCTATTCCTACTCTAATAGAACTCAAAGGACACAAAACTACCTTCAAAAGGGGAGCATCAGATATATATTATAGTTTATGCCAATGAGACAGATCACTACAGAATAAGTAAAGCACTTTAAGTCAAAGTAAAGATATCCAAAAACGTCGGCTCACCTGCAACGCGGCCTGGTCCCCCTCACACACCTTAAAATCCTCAACCAGCGGGGCAGGCTCCTTGCCCTGTCCCGCCGGCGGCCGAGGCAGGGGGCCGGCCGGGGCGGGCGG